CCCCTCCCGCCCGTCTGTGGTTCCTGCAAGCTCCCGACCCAAGGCAGAAAGGCCTGGACAGCCCCTGGCGCCCCGACCTGGGACGGAGCCTCTCAGCGTCCGTTAGCTGTAGCGGCGCAGAAGAGGAAAGGGTCCAGCCCAGGCGACAGATCCACCTCCCCGGCCGCCCTCTCGCCTGCTGCCCTGGCGTGCCCCATCTCTCCTGCGAGGGTGCAGGGCGCTGGCTGTGCACCCTGGAGTGCCTCAGGGCGAAGGCTGACCCGGCCCCGGGCCCTGCGCACCCTGGGGTGCCTGAGGGCGAAGACTGACCCAGCCCTGGGCTCTGTGCACCCTGGGATGGCTGAGGGTGAAGGCTGACCCGGCCCCGGGTTCTGTGCACCCTGGAGTGCCTCAGGGCGAAGGCTGACCCGGCCCCGGGCCCTGCGCACCCTGGGGTGCCTGAGGGCGAAGACTGACCCAGCCCTGGGCTCTGTGCACCCTGGGATGGCTGAGGGTGAAGGCTGACCCGGCCCCGGGTTCTGTGCACCCTGGAGTGCCTCAGGGCGAAGGCTGACCCGGCCCCGGGCCCTGCGCACCCTGGGGTGCCTGAGGGCGAAGACTGACCCAGCCCTGGGCTCTGTGCACCCTGGGATGGCTGAGGGTGAAGGCTGACCCGGCCCCGGGTTCTGTGCACCCTGGAGTGCCTCAGGGCGAAGGCTGACCCGGCCCCGGGCCCTGCGCACCCTGGGGTGCCTGAGGGCGAAGACTGACCCAGCCCTGGGCTCTGTGCACCCTGGGATGGCTGAGGGTGAAGGCTGACCCGGCCCCGGGTTCTGTGCACCCTGGAGTGCCTCAGGGCGAAGGCTGACCCGGCCCCGGGCCCTGCGCACCCTGGGGTGCCTGAGGGCGAAGGCTGACCCGGCCCTGGGCTCTGTGCACCCTGGGATGGCTGAGGGTGAAGGCTGACCCGGCCCCGGGTTCTGTGCACCCTGGAGTGCCTCAGGGCGAAGGCTGACCCGGCCCCGGGCCCTGCGCACCCTGGGGTGCCTGAGGGCGAAGACTGACCCAGCCCTGGGCTCTGTGCACCCTGGGATGGCTGAGGGTGAAGGCTGACCCGGCCCCGGGTTCTGTGCACCCTGGAGTGCCTCAGGGCGAAGGCTGACCCGGCCCCGGGCCCTGCGCACCCTGGGGTGCCTGAGGGCGAAGACTGACCCAGCCCTGGGCTCTGTGCACCCTGGGATGGCTGAGGGTGAAGGCTGACCCGGCCCCGGGTTCTGTGCACCCTGGAGTGCCTCAGGGCGAAGGCTGACCCGGCCCCGGGCCCTGCGCACCCTGGGGTGCCTGAGGGCGAAGACTGACCCAGCCCTGGGCTCTGTGCACCCTGGGATGGCTGAGGGTGAAGGCTGACCCGGCCCCGGGTTCTGTGCACCCTGGAGTGCCTCAGGGCGAAGGCTGACCCGGCCCCGGGCCCTGCGCACCCTGGGGTGCCTGAGGGCGAAGACTGACCCAGCCCTGGGCTCTGTGCACCCTGGGATGGCTGAGGGTGAAGGCTGACCCGGCCCCGGGTTCTGTGCACCCTGGAGTGCCTCAGGGCGAAGGCTGACCCGGCCCCGGGCCCTGCGCACCCTGGGGTGCCTGAGGGCGAAGACTGACCCAGCCCTGGGCTCTGTGCACCCTGGGATGGCTGAGGGTGAAGGCTGACCCGGCCCCGGGTTCTGTGCACCCTGGAGTGCCTCAGGGCGAAGGCTGACCCGGCCCCGGGCCCTGCGCACCCTGGGGTGCCTGAGGGCGAAGACTGACCCAGCCCTGGGCTCTGTGCACCCTGGGATGGCTGAGGGTGAAGGGTCTGTTCCGGGGTTGCCCTAGAGAAGGAGAAGATGGGCCAGTGACTCCCACGCCCAGCGAGCAGCAGAGAGGCCCTGGGCATGGCCCGGGGGCGGGGGCCTGGGGTCTGCAGGGGAGCAGTCGTTCCACCCACCACGGAAAGAGGAGCGAATTCAGTGGGGGAGTCGCGCAGCCAGGGGCCCTCTGGGGCAGGCTATGAGGGCCGGGCCCCGCCGGGACCGGGGCCCGGAG